TTAATTTAGACTACTGTCTAAATTAAAAGTTTTAAAAATATTCTCTCTTTAAAACTCTTTAAAACTCAACAAAATTTCTCTGAAATAAATAAATCAAGTTGAACCTTCAATTTTAAATATTATTAGCTATTAATATTAATTCTATTTTTATATATTATGTGTGTTCTATTTCTGTTTTATATACTTTATTTCAGAAGATATTTATGATAAGAGAATTCAAATTACATTTCTTAAATTTAGAACTTTAATGCATGCCATTAATGATTTCTATTTGCCAGAAAGTAACATAAATAACAGAATGATGATATATTCACAACGGTACAACGATCGTGTACAAATAATTTAATATTCCGAGAATTTCCTTCGCTGTTTCACACGATCCATCGGTGGTCATCACCGAATCGGAAATAATTTCCCAAAGACAGTGTTGTATTTCTTAAAAGCACTTTGCGGCAAATGCGGTGGGCAAACGTCCACTCAGTCTGATTGCGAAAATGCTGATACGCTTGTCCGAGCAAGAAAATCAATTCACTTTTGTCAAATTTCGCGAAATTTCTGTCTCGTCTTGTACGAATTTGGCGCACGCCTCGTTTCCGTTTCACCGAGAGGTGGTGGCTCAACAAGTCGCGCGACCGCCAAAAAGTCATCGCCATGGCGATGGAAATAAGTACAAGGAGCAAAGAAGAGATTGTAATCAGAATCACGTTTACTTCGTTCATCTCCTAGATTACAACACACAGCCAACGTATTTTGTAAAAATTGAGATTAATTTAATTTAACTTAAATAATTCGCCATGATTTTGTAAGATATAATAAACGAGCTTTTAACAAACATGAATTTATTAATCATCTAAATGCAATGAATATATATTATTCAATTTTTGTAAAAAGAGGCAAAGGCTTTAACGTTTCACGTTTATTAATTTGTTAAACGTATTCGAAATGCCGATATTACTTTTTCACATCATTCATATATCGCGTATAAATATATTATTTAATGGAGCCTTCTTAATAGTTTATTATTCAATACTTATCGATACATTCATTTGGATATGCTTATTTAAATATTTTTTTCAATCACCTGTACAATCTTTTTCATAACGATTTAATTATGAGATTTATTTATATTCGCTTTATCAGTTATAGATTTTCTATTGATTTTTAATTCACTTCATTAGTTTCTTAAAGTCTCTCTGTTAAAATCTCCTTGCAAAGAGACGGAAATCTTTGGTTCTCAATTGAACAATAAAATTTATTCAATTGGAAGCGTGACTTGTCAGGCATTAAATATTAAAACGATAGCCATTACCTCTTGTGGTGATCACGCGATACCGAGATTTGCGCGCGTTCTCCACGCGAAAATGTGCACATGAAGAAAGATTACTCACCCCCTATCAGCAGCAGCAACAGCAACAGCAGTAGCAGGAATAAAAATCGGCGCGTCGTCTTCATCATCCTCGTCGCTCTACATCAAACGATCGTGTTTCCCGAAGCGAGGATTCGGCAATAATAGTTGTCACTCTCGATCGACAGCGATCCCGCGATTCTTCTCACGACTGACCCAGTTGGTCCCCTTTGCGACCCCCTGGCGAATATTCCGTGCAGACGACGATTTCTCGCGCGAAAAATCGAATACTCGATTCCACGCGTCGATCGCGAAAGAAGTTACATTGAAAATGGTGAACGGGTGCCAGATGAATGGATGACGAAGGAGAAACAACCGGAGAAGCTGCGCGGGCGAAGTCTCGCCGTCGACTGGCGCGCTTCCGCGTATTCGACCCCTCTGATAACCGGCCGGCACCCTCTGCACCCTACTGTACGCTCGCCCCTCTGCACCCCATTACGGGCACCGAACCCCCGCGGTCATCCTCCACCACGGCGCTAATTCGCGCTTCACTACGAATCGCGACAGCGCACGCCGTTTTGCCGAATGATGACACATTTTTCACGAGAGGTCGACTAAATTTCTCTACAGACACACTCTTTGGAACTGCATACGATCTGAAATAAATATCAAATGGAATGTTTATTAATGAGAAAGGTGAATTTATCAAACATTTATGTCCATTTCTGCCAATGTAAATTAACTTCAATTTTTATTTAACTTACTTTTTGTCAATTCTGAAAATTAAAAAAAGATAAAGATAAATTAAACCGAGATTAAAGTTAATATTAGCAGAAATGGATATCAGACATACAATTTTTGTCGCTGCCATAATATGCTTGGCCATAAACTTTTCATGTCATTAACTTAAATTAAATTATAATGTAACATTTGAATGTCTATTTAATATGGTTTCTTATTCTATCCACATATATCATAGTGAATCGAATTGAAATTGTATTAATAGCATAATTTATTTTCAAAGTTTTATTTAGAAATTACTACTATTATAATTTCAGCATTCAAATACTGTAAAAATTAACATAAAATATTATTCCTCTTTATTCGCAGTCTTAACTAGTACAAAAACCATTAATAAATGAATTTTTCATAAAAATCTTTGAGATTTTTAAAAAAATAGTTAAGAGTCTTTTAATAATGCTGTTTTCATAACATACAATTTCTCTAATTATATTTCAATTTAATAATTTATACAAAAACTTATACAAAATTAATAAAAATTTTAATTTTACCATTTGCATTTTCGAAGTACCCTTTTACAAGAAATTTTTATTGCTTAATCAATAATAATTAAAAAATTATCGATTAATGATGCACACGAATGTCCACGAATGTCCACGATTTACAATCTTTTCGTTAATCAATTTCAATAACTTCATGCAGCTATAAGCACCGTCGCTTTGAATAAAATATTAGCCGAAAATACATCGCATCTTGGATAAAACGCGAGCCAATTTGCATATTTGCATATTTGCATATTCTTTAGTTGTTGTTCTAGTTGTTGTTCTAGTTGTTGTTCTCTTATGACGAGCAATTATTTATGATCACCTAAATTCCACGTGCCCGTTTTGTCACATCTATTAACTGAATTTGTCATATTTTTAACATATGATTTTCGTTGTCGCCAAAACACGTGTACGAGGAACGTAACAAATAATATAATTAGGAAAAATAATGTGCACGTGATAAGATTTGCAGAACAATGATATGTTGAAGATAATGGAAATGAGATCGTAAAAAAATGGTGACAATTAAATTTGCAATGTATCGTCATGGGAATGAACATTTTTGCTTTTGTTAAAATTTTCAAATATTACCAGACATTTTACCTTGATGCTCTACATTTGAAATTTCTTTATTCTCAAATATTGCAAAAATGAAAATAAAATTTATTTAAAAGCAGAACGGAAAAAATAGTTCTGCTGAAGTATTTAAAAACTTGGTCAGAGATACAAAAATAATTTGATTGGTCCATTAAAATAATTACGTTAGTTGCTAGAATGTCAAAAATGTTTACAATATTACTATCATGCTTAAGCGCCCTACATAAATTTGATGATCTGATAAAATCATTTTCAAATCTATATCTAATCAAAATTTATTTTAAATACTTCAGTAAAAATTATTCTTTCCATGCTTTTCTTGATGGAATCATCTGTTTGGAATCATCTTGAAGTGCACAAATCGGTCGGTCTGCGAAAATTTATTTAATAAAAAATATACGTCCCTGCGTAAATCGTGACATAATTCCTTAGATTTTTAGTCTTTTGTTCCTGCACTAAAATTTCAAATATATATTTATTTTCTCTTAAGTACGAGTGTACATTAGTTTAGCAACAAAAAACAGACAACTTATCGTTTAAAATTTTGCACAAGATTGAGTCGTGACTAATATTACGAGAGTGCAAAACACATTCGTCCGTGATTTCAGTTATATTTTAGCAGCCTGTCGTCGTTGATCTTAATCGCTGCGAACGTGGGAACAGAGAAAGGCCAGCGTTTATCTTAAAGATCCTTTTAAGATCTACGATATTAAGTTTCGCTCGCCGGAAAACGTTAGTCTGGTAACGGTCCGGGATATTAAACCGCAGAATCCGAAAGTTTCTTAACGCGCCACAGTCGGTTTTATGAAGCTCTATTGTAATATTTGCGAAAACAGGCGTCCGTCTTCGTTTATTAATTTACCGCCGGAAGTTATAAAATATTAGCCTTTACTCCGAGGCCGTAATGTTTTTACGAGTAAACTTACAAGATTGTACGAGCGCGAAGGATTGTCAAATTCGATTTAAGACCAACTCCAGTAAGATATAGAAGCCCATAGGCGTATCCGGGGGGGAAAGAAAGGAGTTTCAACCCCCTCTTTCCTCCGAAATAAAAAATTAAAGTTACAAAATTTAATATGTTTCTCACTCAAAACGAAGAGATATTCTAAGCTTTAAAATATCTAAGAAAATAATGCAAAAAATTGCTGTTTATGTGTTGATAAAATTGATAAACCTTTCCCTCATCCCCTCAAAAAATTCTGGATGCGCTATCAACATTGTCAAATATTAGATTCCGCATGTTTTTCCTTTGCATAAACGCATTTGATAAATGAAAGAAATGGAAAGGACGAATGGCTTGTATTGAATGGATATGCTTGTCTTTATGAAATTTTTTGTCAATTTTCTGTACGTTTTCGTTAAATACTCACGCACAAAGATCACTTTGATCAACCTCAAGAAGTGTCATGAAGAACCGGCGTCCGGCGTCTTAATAACCAACGCAATAATAAGCACAAACTGAATACAGCTGCAAGCGGTGGCGACCAATCAACTTCTCGATAGGGAGGTTTGATCGCCGTGCGAATTCAATCGTATCCCTAGCATTCTCCCGTTTTCTATGCACGAGCTGCATTTAAATTCTCCAATGGGAAACAACTGGAGCAGCTGTTGGCGCCATGCGTACCGTTCCTCGTTGTACTTCACGAGTTGCGCAACAGTCGCGAGGCTTGGTGTACTGTAACTTTTGGCGCCAACGGAGCAAAAGACAATATATACTTACAATCAACGAGAAATAACAGCAAGAGTAAGTACGCGGGCTGTCGCCCACGTTAAAAATGCCCGTCGAATCGCGGGTGACAGTCATGATAAGCGTTTTACGAGCACGTTCGCGAACCTAACCTGAAAATGTTGCAGTGCCCCCACGAAGACCCACAAAACGGATTGCCGAACAACCCGTGGAGGCGGAAAAGGCGCCGAAACAGATAAGGAAGAAGCAAGGTATGAGCCTAACGAGCCTTTTTCATTCTATTCCGAAAATACTTTCTTCGAACATCACTATTAAATATTGCAAGTAGTCTCGAATGATCCAAGAGAGCATTGTGTGTATATTAATTTTTTTTTTAATTTCTTACGATTAAAAGAAATTAAAGTTCTTGAAAAATTATACAATATTAATTGTTTACATAAGTTTAATTTGTTACGTAAGTTTAATTTGAATTTATCTTTTATTCAGAATTAATTGTAAAACCTGATCTACGGTCGCTTCCAACGGGTGGTGTTATGCTTGTGTTCGGACAAGGTGATTTTGGTCAGCTTGGTCTAGGAGAAGATGTTACCGAGAAAATGCGTCCTGCAGCTATATCCGATTATCAAGATATCATAGCTGTAGCGGCTGGTGCTATGCACAATATATGTTTGAGAAAGACAGGAGAAGTATTGACTTTTGGATGTAATGACGAAGGAGCACTTGGACGAGACACCAGCAAAGAAGGATCTGAGACAATACCAGGCATAGTTGAATTACCTGGTAAAGCCATTCAGGTGACAGCAGGAGATTCGCATACCGCAGCATTGTTAGATGATGGTCGAGTATTTGCATGGGGTACATTTAGGGTATGTTTTTTCTAATTAATCTTGATATATAATCATTACTTGTTTATAAATTTTAATCATTTTTGTTTATTAATTAAGAGAAAATTTTATTAATGTAATAAATTTTTATTTGTAAATAGGATACACATGGTTCTATGGGACTAACATTGAAAGGAAATGAGCGATTCCCTGTAGAAATATTACCTGATGTAAAAGTTGTCAAAATAGCATCAGGTAATGATCATTTAGTGTTACTTAGCGAAAATGGACGTGTATATACTTGTGGACGCGGTGAACAAGGACAATTGGGAAGAGTAGCTGCACGTACAGCCAGTAGAAATACACGACAAGGGATAGGTCTATTATTGACTCCAGGTGTAGTTGAATTTAAAATAAGAAAAAAGCTATTTTTTGACGATATTTGGGCAGGAAATTTTTGCACTTTTGCTAAGGAACATCAAAAAGGAGATTTATACGTGTTTGGCTTAAATAATTTTCATCAAATTGGTAAGATATTTTTCAAAAGAATCATGTACTTTTTTTTCTTTCTTTTCTTATCGAAAAATATTTTAGGACTGAAGGACAGAGATATTCATTTTCATCCACAAATATCAAAAACCTTTAGCGGCAAAATGTGGAGACATATCAGTAGTGGGGAGCATCATACTATAGCTCTAGACGATGATGGACAAGTTTTCGTAATGGGTCGCAAAGAATACGGTCGCCTCGGTCTCGGATCTAATTGCTCAGACGCGGAAGAACTTACATTAGTTCCTGCTCTAAGTTCCATTAAGTGTATTGACGTAGGCGCGGGTAGCAGAGAAAGTTTCGCAGTCACAGAATCTGGTAATATATATATATATAGATAATATTAAATTTTAAAAATAGCCGATAGATCGTTCATATATTATTTTTTTGTTACAATAGGTGAATTATATTCATGGGGTATGGGAACGAATGGAAATCTTGGAACGGGGGATGTAAAAGATGTCGAAGAACCAGTATTAGTTAAGGGCAAGCAATTGGAGGGTAAGACAGTAATACGAGTCAGCGGTGGCGGCCAACATACTTTGGCTTTGGCAACGATTCGTCCGGTGAAAGATAAAACCGCTGGTTAATATTAAATATTATATTTCAAGACATTGTATATGTGATATGAATTTAGACAAGAACGAAAAATCCTACCTTGTTTTTATCATACTTTATTTTGTAACATCCATGATATGATGATCCGTATTGTCTCGCCAAATAGAAATCTTCCATTATGTTTTCAATCCTATTCGAAATCTATTCAACAACGTTCAAATTTGTATATAATTTGTCATTCTACCGCAAATTCAATCATGTTTATACTAATTAATATATTGTGTTCTTGTTGCATTGTTAGCATTATTACTTATATATGTATTGCTAAAACAATATATATACAATAATTTTTCTACCTTTTTTCTATGTATTTCTACTTGCAAATTACAAATCAAGGTTTCTGTCTAAAAGTATACATGAGCGAATACTTTAAACGGTCAAGAAATTATATTTTGAATAATCAATAAAAATTGTTAAACATAAAATAAATGTGATAGCATTTTTGTCATTTCTATGCCATTTAATTTAATGAAATCTTATAAATTGAAAAATTAAGTAATGTATTGTGCATTATTATTTGCGTTTGAAATCATGTATGAAATATCTTGAAGAATAAACTATTTATAAAATTACTAACTTTATCAACATTAATCCCATATATAAATCATATTACGAATATATCTTTAAAATAAATTTAATCAATTTTATAAATTAATTTTATTATTAAAAAATTCTACAAAACGATTATAATAATATTAAGATAAAGATGACTATACTACAATGAAATGTTTATAAAATCAGGAAATTAAAGATTTATAACAAGACAAAGATCAGTTTATTCATAAACTTGAATACAGAATAGTACTACAATTTTTATCAATTTAGATTACAGTTTGTAAACTGTAATAACTAAGGGAAAATTAATTTATAAAACATTATAAGTTTGAAATCTTATCAAAATGCAACTAACTTGTTTTTGGTTGTTCTGTTAATTTTGCATTTTCTTGCATTGAAATTTGTGTGAGCTTTTTACCAATACGTTCGTGAACGTCTAAATATTTAGCGATACAACGATCTAAACATATCGATTCTCCTTTGCCCAGCTCAGCCTCCATGTACTTTGGTGCTATACACTTTCTATGGCATGCAGATGTCATACGATTGTACATATCTGACATCATTTCTATTTCCAATTCCTGTACCAACTTCATTTTATCTTCGTCCAGATGTGGTAAGGCTGCCATTTTTTCTAATTTTATATTTTTTATGTTTTCTTCCCTTGAAAACTTTTTATTCCTTAGGAGTAAATTAATCTACAATATTGGTATCACGTAAACGTTTTCTGGCTTTCATAATCTCATATCTGTTTGCATTGACACTTTTTTTGGACAGCACAAATGCGTAAATTCCTGCGGCAGTAGCTACGGACCTACAAAACATAAATTCAACATTCAACAATAAAATACGCATTAGAATGTTTTCTTTTCATAAGATTAGCAAACGTGAGAAATTTGGTATCTTTCAATTATACGAATAAAAAAATATTAAAAATATAAACTCTCAAAACCCTAATATAACATTGCAATTGAGTTTGTAGGTTAATGTCGACGTGATATTATGGTTATTAGATAAAAGAAACAATTTCTGTGGCAACTTTTTATCAAGATACTATCACACCTACCATCCAATCCCTACCTTTGCCCAAATTGGCAAAGCCATGCTTTTATTTAATTGTTACAATATCCCAATATAATTATAAGTTAAAAAATTTCATGTACCTGAAACGTGTATACCATGCGATCGCCGGCAATATTTTCTAACCTCTCTCGACAAATCTTAATAAACCTCGTCATGATATTATAAATGCTATAGTTATTTTGAATTTTCTTTATAAGCGAATATTTTTGCGAGATGTCTCGTATATTACGTTAAAACGTGTCAAAGCAAAATAATTTGATAAGCAACAAAATTTTTAGCCAATTTCTTTCATTTCAGTTTCTCACAGATTTTCATTTTAATCGTTTTCAAAAAACGCGCTTTAAATGTTGCCAAATAAATAACGTCTACGTTGGAAAATCCTTGGTAGTATTTAATTGAATTCAATTAGGATGAAAAAAGCAAAAATTTCTTGATTGGTCAATTAAATGCTATTCTGTTCATCAAGTAGGGTTTTCGAATATAACTTTTCTTTGCGAAATTATTGTCCATTTTTACGAATGTCTAATTTTAATCTTGGCTTAATTTATTTTCTATCTTTTTCTAAATTTTAGAGCTAAAAATAGAAGAAGGAAATAAAACCGAGATTAAAATTAATCGATATTCATAGAAATTAATATAAACATGTCCTAATTTAAAATATCGCTATCTCTTATCTGGCTGTTTCAATGTAGCTTTGATGAGTAAGATGTGTGTGTGTGTGTGTGTGTGTGTGCGCGCGCGCGCGCGCGTGCGTGGTGTGTGTGTGTATTATATGTGTATAACCTAATGTGTACCGATGGTGTAATGTGTAACAGTTGCTGTAGTAACACGTCGAAGCAAAATAGTAAAGGTAAATTTTGCTTGTCGACGATTATTAATATAATCGTTCTTCAACATCCGCAGAAATACATCAAATCTTTATAATATTTCGAGGCACAATATTTTGTCTTTATCGATAGTACAATTTTTTTGTGGCGGTACGAAGTGCGAAGAGCAACATGTTGCATTTGCTTGTCGTTTGCGGTATCATTTGTGACGTTTCTGAACGTACATGTTATTGGTGACAATTAAGAGATTACGAATATGTACTAGGAAAGCAGGATGTTCTGTTGATTTCATATAAACGTTACTGAAGTACAACGAGTGAAGAAGAGAACGTGTGCCAATAGAACGAAACGTGAATTGTAAGAAGAATGTCTATACAACAGTGGATGCAAATACGACACAACATCGAAATTCCATGGAAAACATTTGTCAGAGAATCGCCGAATGTGAGGGATAAATCTCCAGAGAGGTGCATACATCAGTTGGCCTTTCAAGGAAACGAAGCAAAAGCTGCCTATGAAGAAATCATTCATCAGACCAGCAATAGCAATATTTCATTAGCCAAATTGAAGTACTTGAGATCAAAAACTATTGGAAATCAATGCAACTATGGCACGAATCTAGCTTCTACCACAGCACAATCAAAGAAGATAATACCAGATGATATTTTAACAAAAGTTACAATTAATACACTGTTGAAAGCAGTGGAGCAAAAGGACTTGAAATTCTTGCAGAAATATATGACGACGGAAAATGTGAATGTAACTGATGACTTTGGTTGGACACCTTTAATGTCTGCTGCTTATTGTGGTCATGTGGAGATTGTACAATTCTTGTTAAATTTGGGAGCTAACAAAAGGACCAGAGATAAATCAGGTCTTACCGCAGCCCAATTAGCCTTGAAAAAAAATTATTTGAGTATCGTCGCACTGTTAAAGAAAAAATCTGATTCGATAAATAGTATTAATCATATATCTGCAAATATTTCTACTACAAATAACATGAATACTTTACCAATTAGATCAATGCCTATAGAATCATCAATGGAGCATAGTAAAGATGACATTATAGAAGAAAATACACAATTGAAGCAAAATGCAGCGTTTTATTGTGAAACTTGTAAAGCAACCTTTCATGAAACAACACTGCAAAAACATGATAGTTCTACTCTACATATATTTAATACCAAGCCAAAACTGAAGCATACAATGTATGGAATATCAAGACAAAATAAAGGATATAAAATGCTTTTGAATACGGGATGGGATGAAGAAACTGGTCTTGGTCCTTTTGGGAAAGGAATAAAATATCCAATTAAAACGTGTTTGAAAATGGATCGCAAAGGATTGGGACAATTAGTGGATAATGAATATAAAATTACTCACTTTAAACCGGGTGATACAACTGCAATTAACAGCTCTAAAGTACCTAAACAAAAACCTTTGAAAAAGAGGGATAGAGAAAAGCTACTTCATAGAGAAGCTAGGAAAGAAAGAGCTCTACGTATAGCCTTATCTTAAATTAGATATAAAAAATTCTAGAAATTTGAATATATTTATTTCAATATTGAATAAAATAATGAAAATAATTTTTACTGTTCTTACTTATGCTTGTAAGTTTATCTTCTCAATCTTTCTTTATTATAAGATCATTTATTCATTCATACTGTATTTTACTTGTAATATTAAAGCAATGTGTTCTTATGTTAATTATAAGTCAATAAAAATTTTTTAAAAAAGTATATAAGATTATCAATGCTTCAATTTCATTAAAATATAATAAAAGTGAAAATATTCTATTATACATACGAATATATAATATATATATATATATATATATATATATATATATATATATATATATAATATAATAAATAAATAATACATAAATTTACTAATGTGTTACAGATGATGAATGAACACCAAAGATTATTGGAACATTTGGAAAAAGTTGAAAACAAAGCGGGCGAAATTCTCACTGATCACGAGGAAATAGTCGCTCTGGACAAAAGAAGGAATGATGATCGTGTTGGAATGAGGGCACTTCAAAAACAATCGCATGAAAAAGCATGGATAACGGTGGGACCATTGCTTTTAAAGATGCCGTCGAAAGCAGCTGAAGAATTGCTTGAAAAAGGTAATTTTATTTTAATAAACAGAATGAAAAATTTACACACACACACACACACACACACATATATATATATATATATATTTTTTTTTCTTATATATATATTATTACAGATCAGAGAGAATGTAGTACTGCCATTAATAAATTAAGAAGCGATTTAAAAATAAAAGTAAACGAACTACGTGATTTAGAATTAATTCCACCGGTATCTGGATTAATGTTAGAACCTATGTCTTGCAAAGAAATGGATGCAATCGGACAAATTTTAGGTCGAAGTGTCTAATGTGTAATAAAGAGTTTATTGTTCAACAAAATAATAGAATTAGAATAAATGTATGAGCTTAATAATAATATATGTTTAATTACAAACTTTTATATAATTATCATATCTAACAAGTTAAAATATCTTTATTATATTTGTGTTACAATGTCTTTTATACATCTATTTCAAATAATTAGTCATATTCAACATTACAGATACTGTACTTTATAGATTATTATATATATTATATATATTATATAACATAGATTTATATACATGTATGTATACATAATCTATACTTTTAATATATATATATATATATATATATATATATATATATTA